TTTAAAATATTGATTTCTTAATTTTGGATTGGAAAAGTGGGGGTCATCTTGTACATGGGGGCGTGTTATTGTCGGAAAAATACGGTACATTTGATGGGAGAAACTTTTTTTTCTTAATTTTCCTTCTCTAATAATGCCATAAGCTGGGCCTGTAGAATGCTATATTAAATATACACGTCCAGGAACATCGGCATTTGAAGTTCATGCGTTTTTACAAATAAATGGTTTGGTAATTATTAGACTAATTTTAGTGTGTAAAATTTTGCATTTTCCATTTGCCAAGTTAATGAATGAGGAAAATATCTGTGATAAACATAATGTAAAAATGCGTCAGTACACTAATTTTGTCAGTCCAAAATACTTGTCCTCTGAGTTGTGTTCCATTGCAATTCAAGTAGATAAAGCCTGTCAAAATATGCATGGAGCGAGAATAAAAAGTAAATTAGATTTAATTAAATTTAAAGTTACGTTAAATTAACTAAGTGCAATTAATGTGCTTATTCCTGCGTGTGCACACACACACATAAAGCATACCCATGTGTGTCCTGTATATTCTGGCTACTCACTTTTGGATTCAGTCCACATTGATTCAGCACTCCTTTATTCTTGAGCTTGTCTTCCCTTGTTTTACCATGCACTTTTAAATACCTCTCTATTCCTACTGTATTCCATTTTATATTTCTCCTGATATACCAACTCTCACTTCCATATGGGTAGAATCACTCTCTTATACACAGCCATTTTCTCGTCTTTAGAACACATTTATTCATGCAATATTTCTTCCAGCGTGTGCACATCTTAACATTTCTCCATTTGTTTTGCCATGTTCTATCCATGTACACAAATTCAGCTACTTGCTCTAATCTTGTTTCCATAACTCGCAATCATTCATTCCATTTTTTCCTATCAAAGACAACTGGATCCTTCATACATTAGTCCTCTGGTCCACGTTCCTTTATAAAATCTGTACCAAACTTTGTTGCAAATCATTCTGCCCACAACATGACATCATCTGCATACAAAAGTACATTTATGTTCTTAACCAATGCACATGTAATATCACTACAACCATTCTTTAAACATTTATACATCAGTGCATTAAACAACCAGGGAGACATCACACATACTTGTTATGAGAATTAGTTATCACATGTTTAAAAATAAACAGCTTGATATTAGATGTGTCTGTGACCTAAACAGAAGTCAGAAGGAAACCAGGCCTTCCATTCCAAAAGAGAGAAGCATCTAGTGCATTGCACTTGGGCAAGAGATAGAAACTAAATCTTGATTTCACTGTAAATAGGGCTTACATTTCATATACAGCAGTTGTTGGAATCCTTTAAAATGGCTTCCTAGCTTTTTTACAATAAACTTTTCAGAAACCCTGGAAGTCTTCCTTGTAACCCTTATACTTGTCTGTAGAGCTGTGCCGTGCTTCACATTTGATCCAAAAAGGTTTTTTGAAATCTATGGGAACACTAAAGGATAATAAGGTGTACTTAAGGCTATGAAAATCAAGGATTCTTTAGCCTGCTGTATTGTGGCTCAATCCATCATTATTTTATATGCTCCTGGCTGACTTTATTCCAGTACAGGTAGTCCTTGACTTATGACCAAACTGGGATCAGAATTTCCATCGCTAAGCTATGTGGTTGTATAGCATGATGTCACATGATCTCATCGCTTAGCAATGGCAATCCCAGGCAGTCCAGGTTGCTGTTGTAACCCCAAGACGCGTGGGCCATTAAGTGGGAAGAGGTGGGAGTCCCAGGTAAGAAGCACAGGGGTGCCATGGGCTGGGAGGCCTGGGAGGGCCAGTGCAGACCACACACAAGTTTGGGGAAGGGGGTGCTGTGGTGCAGCATGAGCTCAGGAAGGCCAAGGAAAGAATACTCAGGCTCAGAGGCTTCTTGGCCCACTGTGGCTCTGGGGCTACAAGAAGCCCCTCACCTGCAGCGCAGAACGAAGCCACAACCACCCCTGGAAGCCTCAGGTGCCCCAGCCCAGCCCAGTAGCATGGCACAAAGCGGCTTCTTGGTGCACCGTGGCTCTAGGACTGCAAAAAGCCTCTGAGCCACAGTGCAGCGCAAAGCCCTTTGCAGCATGAAGACCAGCCCCAGCCCAGCCCAGAAGTGTGGTACAAAGGGAGTTCCTGGCACACTGTGGCTCTGGGGCTGCAAGAAGCCCCTGAGCCGCAGCGCAGTGTACAGCCTCAGCTACCGCAGCAGTGCGGCACAAAACCGCAGTGCCCCGGGAAGCCCCAGCCTCAGGAAAAAAGTCTTGTGCGGCCATCAGCTGCCTTGCAAAGGGCCAGGCCAGGCATGCTTGGTCAGCAGTGGAAGCAAGAAGATGGCAAAAGTCAGCTAGGGCGGCAGGGGCCCCGGAGTGCAAGGGGCTGAAAGGGCAAAGATGGGAGGGAGATGGGTGGGAGGAATTGAAGTGCCCCTGAAGTTGTAAGTGCAGGCAGGCTGCCAAGCGCCCAAATTTTGATCATGTGACTGTAGGGGTGCTACAGTAGCTGTGACTTGGGTGACCGTTCAGCACTGCTGTAACTTCAAAAGGTCACTGAATGAATAGTCACAAGTCGAGGACTACTGTAAAGCACTATTTTACGAGCAAGTGCTCCATTATATAAACAAGCATTTCTAGATTAATAGTTGGGTTGATGGTAGAATGTAAATACAATATGTATATGAATATACACTAAATTGTAAATAGATTATGTCTACATTTTGTCATGCTCAGTAAATTACAAATGTGGTGCCACTGATAGCAACTGCAGTAAAGCAAAGTATCTTCTGTAGTTACTCGCGAAATCGAACCTATGACACCTACATTGGCAAAGGTTATGTGATTGCTGGGATGGATGAAGGTTTGCTTGGAGTATGCATTGGAGAGAAAAGGAGAATAATAATACCACCTCATCTTGGGTATGGAGAAGAGGGAAGAGGTGAGTATAACTTTTATTTCAGGTGCTTTCTTAAGTACCAATGCCCTGTAGCTCATTTATTATTTTAGTATAACGTTGCAGTGATTTAAGCATGTATATAACACAAGGACATGGTGCTTTCAAGTGAAAGCATTTTCCAGTGTCAAGTGTAATAAAGTAATTGCATCTGATTCCTGCACCTGGTGTGAGAGTTGTACTAAGTTCATAGTGAATGCTGTTAATACAAATGGTAGAATAGGCATCAGTGAATATAGCATGGCTTATTTGATGGTACTTGCTTGGAGTACATTTTCTCCCACAACATCTCTAGGAAAAAATATGTGGTTGAAACAGTAAATAACCCGGTTATTTTTCATAAGGTTTTAGAGACAGATACTGCAGTTAATCAGCTGCCTAGCCAAATCTTTTGTTCTTAGGTTTTGCAGATACTTAATTCTATCTTCGGAGATAATGGATGCTTTTCAGGTTATCTGGAAACAATCCTGTTATTATGCTGTGTCACTTAATACCAGCCAGACACAAATAAAGCTTTTTACATCTTCAGAATGATTGGATTAAAATCACTATATTAATATAAGGATTGGAGAGATCCCATGTTAGACCCAGGGGGAAGGAAAAAGATGTGATGCTGGTTTATCTCAATTGAAGAGAAGTACAGAGGAGGGAGGCTGTTGGGGTCTTAATCGTCATCCAGTCATAGGTATTAAAACTATTGGTATGTAAAGTGGCTTCATATTTAGAAGAAAGGGTTAAAGAGATTCACTTAGTATGAAAGTGTCCTAACATAATTCTTGGCAATTTTTTTCACTGTGTAATGAGGGAGAAATCCATACTTTCTGTTGGAAGTGCAAAAGCAACCCAAACACACTCCAAGTGATTTTTCCTAAAGCACTTTTAATGAAAGCTAAAAGTTTTCACTAAGTTTGAGTTGCAATTCCACCTAGTAAAAGGTGGAATTTCACCAGGTTTCATGTTTCTAAGCTTGCTTGTTTTTCTTTAGTGCATTCACACTCACAAGATAGGTAAGAGAGATAATTGCCCCGTATTTCATGGTTCTGGAAGTAGATGGCTTTTATGCTGTTGGAAAAACAACAAAATGTCATAAGTCTCAGCATAATTCAGGATGACTTTTGCAGATGCTCTTGACCAAACCTCCTTTATTTTCACAGTACCAATTTTCAATAGATGAATTTGTTGTTTACAAGATGTAAAATCAGTAAAAGAAGAAAAGTGAATGATTTATTACTACATGATTGTTTATTATTGTAGGAAACATTCCAGGTTCCGCTGTGTTGGTATTTGACATTCATATGATAGATTTTCACAACCCTTCAGATTCGGTTGATGTTACAACCTATTACAAACCTACTAACTGTTCAGTGCTAAGCAAGAAAGGTGATTACTTGAAGTATCATTACAATGCTTCCCTCCTAGATGGCACTTTATTAGACTCAACGTAAGTATATCATCTGGCCATGGATAATTCTACAAGCATGAAAATAGGAAAATATTTCATAGATGTGAGTCAGTGCATGATTGCTTATTTTTTTAGCTGTTTGCATTCTGTTAAAATAACTGAAAGAAGGGTGTGATGTCCTTCATGCAGACAGAAGGGTTGTTAATTATGAAAATAAACAGTGGAAATTGATTCTCTGTCCCAAGGGCCTCCACCATGATGCCCACTGGTATCATGGTGCTTTCAGATTCTTTGCTTCATACCAGCTAGCCTCGCTACCTCATTTAACATTTTACATGCAAAACCAAACCAAAAACTAATTTAAAAAATGAGAAGCTGGCATGCTACAAAGCAAAACATTTGCATTCAGCATTGTCTTCATTTTCAAAAGTGCCTCTTGGCTTCCACTGTTCCCATGCGTTTTCTTCGAAAATGAAAATGCTGGATAGTTGCAACCCAGTGCTACGTTTTATTCTGTGCCAGCCTGCTCAGGTAAAGTGCAACAAAATGTAGAAATAGCAGAAAGCATGTTGAGGGGAAGATGGGACTAGCTAAGAGGGGGTGGGATACAACATTCTTGTAAATTAGAATTCTGCAATGGGCTGTGTTCCACATTGTATGAATTCCCATTTCCCATTTCCCAATTTCCCATTGCAATATAAACATTAGCCCCCAAAGATTAAGGACCCCTGAAGGACTTGTGAACTCTAAGATCAGATCATTATATTTCTATATAACTCAGTTTATGATGGATTTCTTAGAGGCAGGCTATCAGTAATGCAGGTCACTGTATGTAAATAGGAAAAGTGGAATAAATGCTGGAAAACTGGGTGAAGTTATTGTCTTTAGCATATCTTAATTTGTGAATCACACTTTTCTTTTTCAGGATTAGCCTTGGGAAAACATATAATATAGTTCTAGGTTCTGGACAAGTTGTCCTGGGAATGGATATAGGTCTCAGAGATATGTGCGTTGGAGAAAAAAGAACAATTATTATTCCTCCTCACTTCGGTTATGGAGAAGCCGGAGTTGGTGAGTATATAACTTTCAGAGACCTGCACAGAAGTGAAGAAATTGATGTGAGTTGACTCAAATTTCTTCTGAATTCCCCTGCTGTGGTGCACAGTCACTTCTGTATGCACCATTTTATTTTGTTAAATTATACTTATTGATCCATAGACTGTTCCAACATGATACATTCCCTTGTTCCTATCTTCTGCTCTCAGTGGAATAATTTCAAATGATCGGATGACATAACAGAATTAGTTGGAACTGTGTAACAGTTTAATTTTGAAGAGGTCTCATTAATTAAATAAGGTTTTAACTGCAATTTAACTTAAAAAATTAGCTTAGAAATTACATTCTCCACATGAAATATTGCCACATGCATGTTACGTAATGAACCTGTTAGAATGTTGAGCTACATAGTCTTATATCATAAAACAATGAATAAGCATTGTCTGTGAACTAACAAATGTCTTTGCATTAAACCTTAAGCCTAAAAATAATAACAAAACTTAGTGTCTGCTAGTAAGAAAATAATAATAGCAAATTCTTTATTGACTCAGTGGATCTAATTTTTGCATTTGTATTGTTCTTTGTTTAAATATTATCTACTGCACAACTTGCTTATCCTGCTAGGAGTGAATATATGATATTTTCCCCCCAACCTCTGCATTAGGGATGGCAACTCCAGCACCATTTATGTGAACCCCTGGCATTTCAATTTGTGCTGCAAAAGTTTATGAAGTCTCTGAGACTTATTTTTCATATTCATTATCTATGAAATCCTCAAAATGGATCATTTTCAGACCTGCTTCCCAGGGACATCACTTTTCATACCCTCTGCAGGAAATGATTAAAAATGTAACGTGACTACTCTGCCCTAAAATTTCCTACTCCCACCACAAATATTCTGCATAGCAAAATGTTCCCAAAAACAAATACTAAAATTTGGTTTTTGTCATTTACTGTGGCAGAAGGAGAAGTGCCTGGAAGTGCTGTATTACTATTTGACATCGAACTGCTTGATTTAATATCTGGCTTACCAGAAGGCTATATGTTTGTGTGGCATGATGAAGTATCTCCAAACCTCTTTGAAGAAATGGACAAGGATAACAATGGAGAAGTTCTCCTAGAAGAAGTAAGGAGCTATTTTGGGGGCAAAAACCTGCTTTATAAAGATTATTTTTGATGGGTAGCAACACATTCTTAGATACACCATGTTCAGTATTGGATCTTTAATCTTGGACTTTTCAAACTACAATATAGCTTATACGATACTATAAACTATATTATATTATGACCCCAGATATGATAAATACATTTCTGTGACCTTCCCCTCATGAATAAAATTTTGTTGGAGTTATGGCTGGGCAAGAAATACTGACACAGTTTTTAATAATTAAATTGTAATCTATAAATCAAAGAAAATGATGGACCTTATAGTTCTACAAAATAACAAAATATTTTGTTTGGAAGGTAAAAAAAAATGAAAAACTGTATTAGTTAATGGGAGGGATGAGTTTGTTTACTTTTGTATTAGTCCTGAAATCTGGGTTTCATTTTCAAGGCAGTCACTCTCATTTCCCATTCCCATTTATTTTTTTGATTGCTGTTTTCTCTTGGAAGCTGCAACTGCTGAAAACTCTAATTCATATAAGTATGATGTTAGAAAAGGAATTAGTATTTTCATGGCTTTCCTGCTGGTTAATGTCAAAAGTGGGGCCTTGGGGAAAAGAAGCAACCTTTCCTGCCAAGGGCATGAAAAAGGGTGTTGTCGGATCTGGGGAGCCTCATAAGTTTGACTAGGACTGAATGGATTGAGGGAAGCTTTCTCATGCCAGCTCTAAACCAAAGATTTAATATGCTTAAATAAGCATATATGCCAGAGTTGCATGTAATTTTTGCAACTGAATGAGAGCCACTGTGAACATTCAGTAGAATTGGAAAGTTCAAGCTTCTTTGCAAAGATGGGATGAGGTATCATTAGTACGCTGATGATACGCAATTATACATCTCCATCCCTGGTGAAGTAAGTGATGCCGTGGCCGCCCTTCCTCGGTGCCTGGAGGCTGTAAGGGTCTGGATGGGGAGCAACAGGCTTCGGCTGAACCCTGGTAAGACAGAGTGGCTATGGGTTAATGGCTCCTCTGTATCCGGGACTTTGTCATCTTTGGGGCTCGATGGGGTGGCACTACCCCAGACAGACCCGGTGCGTAATCTGGGGGTCCTCCTAGACTCGCAGCTCCGGCTTGAAGAGCAGGTGGCAGCCGTGGCAAGGAGG